ATCCTTCCATTATAAAATTATAAGTTATGGTCACTTTAACCCCTTAATACTAACTGGTACAAACATGGGCTGAGTGAAAACATTGCTGCTGTATTGTGAATGGCATGAGTTTATTCTGAATCAGAGCTGACACATTATACATCCTTTGAGTAGTGAAATAGTGACAAAATGGTAGTTTCGTAGCTTTTCTGTTGTTCTTAAGCAGACCAGTCTCACATCACAGTAACAGGATAATGGCTATGTAGGTTTATAGAGCAAAGCTATTATTTTCACTAAAAAGGCTGTAAAATTGAGAAATGCTAACATATTTTATGTGTTATTCTTGTCGTGGGACTCGTCACCCCAGCACCATAGAAAACAACAAAAGCTTTATGGCAATTATTGCATAGCTGTATTTTTACACAAACCATGATCTTTTGCCAAACTGAAGTCTGAATCTAAACGAATCACAGTCATAGAGCAGAACTGAGTGAAAGATACAGTGACAGAATTGTTTTGGAGCAGGAATGCAAAACAGTCATTATAATGACTAATTTACCATTTAAAAAAACTCAAACTACAAATCAGGGCTACCTTACTGTGTGATCTGTATTGTCTGCAAAACTTGAAATTTTCCCTGTGGTAAGTCGTTAGCAAGGAGGTTGGTGTTGTTGTATAATGCAGCAATGGGGATTTCGAAAACGGCAACACAAGGATCGCAGGAGGTGAGTGAAATATGCAGCTAATGGCAGGTGTACACCAGCAGCCTACATGTGGTGAGTCACACCACGTGATATTAAACTTGTGAATCGTGTGATGTGGCAGCAAGGTGACAAAACGTAGGAATCTCACACTTTCACAGCCTTTACTGTAAAAGAAGTACATTTTGTGTCGTTGATCAGCGTAGCTACAATACATTTTAGTTAGGGATGTCCGATATTGGCTTTTTTGCCAATATCCAATATGCCGATATTGTTCAATTCTCAATTTCTGATTCTGATATCAACCGATACCGACACCACTGTATGTTCGCTACTGCAGCCACACTTGTTTACACACTTCACAGTTTGATCTGGCCATCATTTGCGTATTGGTAAATGCCGGCAAAATTTAGGCATTATTTTATCCGTTTTTAATGTCGTCAAAAAAAACACAAAAAAACAATAACGATATTGACAGATATTACATTTTTGTGCCAATATCATCATCCCTAATTTTAGTATGAGGCTTCTTCACCCTACGCACATATACTATTTTGAACATCCTGCACGCTAGTCTCACAGCAACGTTCCAACAAACAATGTTCTTCGCTTTTAGCCACAAATTATTAATACAGTATGAGGATCACATTGCTGTCTGTGTGAATGAATGTGTAGCTTAAAGTCAGTATACTGGAGTCTCTTCTTCTTTTCTGCTGTCACCATTGGTGCATGCTGTTCTTTGAGTACTTTCACCTCACCCCGACCTCCTTTCTCCTCCTCCTCCTCGTTAGGAAGCAGTAATTCAGCACTGAGTATGTTCCCATACTGTCAATACTGCAATTAAGAGATGTGCATTTCCAAAGCTCTGTTCTGTAGATAACAGGGGGTTGAATTCCCTGATCCAAATCTGCAGCATGCTTCCATCAGTTTGCTGCACGGTCATACTGGGAGTAGAGCAGCACTGCTACACAGAGCTGTGCAGCCAGTCACTACAGTGTGGTTTAATCTCATAACACCAAAACTGTGATACATTAGACATCACATTGAGTTTACGTGATAAATTACTACTGTATGAACAGCCTTTATGAGACAGAAATTGCAGACTTAGATTTGCATTTAAATGTTCTGTCTTGTATGAAGAGTCCAGAAGATAAAATACAATAAAGGAGAAGAGGAAAAACTATGGAAGTGACAGATTTCTCACTGCAAGAATATAATCTGGCATTTATGACCGCAGTAATCCTGGCCCATGAAGGAGTTGTGCTGTATTGGAAGTGACAGGGCCTTGTGATTTATATGACGAACACTGGCTTCATGTTAAGTATCACATTATCGCTATGACAGCTGTAGCTTATGCACAGGGCCTGCAAGTGACGGAGAGGTCTGCATGTGTGTGTTGTATTGTTGTGAAACTGCACAGTGGGTGTTTGTTCTGCACGTGTGTGTGTGTGTAAGCAAAGTCGGTGTGTGAAGGGTCTGTGTGTTCGTGTGCATGTTTGTGTGTGTGTGTGTGTGTGTGTGTCCGTGTGTGTGAGTGCAGCTGGTGTGAGTGTTTTCCATTTCGTGTGTTGGGGCCAGAATTGGCCTGTCAGTCACAGTAAAGTGGGGAGGAGAGGGAGACGACAGGTGTCGGGAAGGGGAGAGAGAAAAGGAGGGAGTGTGAGAAAGAAGGATGAAAGAGCAAAAGAGAAGGGCAGAGAAGCTTCAGAGAAGGAGGGAGAAAGTAAAGTTTGGCCAGCTGATGAGAAACTTTTGTTCTTTCCCCAAAACGCTAATGAGGACGGAGTAGAAGTGTTTGAGTGGTACTTTTGTAAACTAGTTTCAGAATCACTAGAAGAGTTCTTGAGAAGAGACGAAGATTGTTGAAAAGCATGTCAGTAATATCTTGTTTCAAAGGCTGGACATGAATAAATGTTAACATTGAGAAAGGACATGTGGGATCAATGAAATTAGCAAACTTTTCATTCAGCTGCCTCTCAGTCCACCAGGATCATTTACTTTCTAGAGCTGCTTCTGCTAAGTTTGGATTATCGCAGCTATAAGCAAAGTACACCAATTGTTCTGTTGCAGGCTGCAGGAATGAACACGAGAGTCTGATGTACTCCCAGCATCTGAGGAATGAGATTGCTTTAATTTGATCCAGTGGATAGCTTTTATTATTAATGGCAATGTCACCACAACAATAGGACAGTCCCTGATGCGAGCACATTGTATGACTCATGTGATTAACGTGACCATTGACTTTGACTGTATGGCCACAGGTCAGAGCTCTGTGGAAACTGTAAAGCTGAGGAACATGTAGAGATGAACCGATGTAAAACCAATAAGAAGGACTGGGTGGATTATTGTGTTTTCATGTCACCTATTGTGCTTCCACTTTAGCCACTGTTTACACCTGTTTGCTCCTCTCATGCTCTCAGTGCACACGTATAATGCATTTTAATGCAGCTGAATTACCAACAAAGCTTTTTTTTTCATTTGTTCGTTTTTTTTCAGTTTCAGACAACAGAACAAGTATGAAACTGTGGCTGAATTGCAGTCCATTAAAACCACATGTTAGCCAGCAGTCACTTCAGAGTCATTTCCAAGCTTCTGCTCTTCACCACTAAACTACCGATTTCATACCAGCAGCACTGACTGACCACCACACACGAGTTAAAAACAACAGCTGTGCTATTAAATGATCACTCGGAGAGAAAGTTAGAAGTGATAAAAAAGTTCTGGTCTCACACACTCATTCAGGTCCGTGTCGGCTGCCATACAGTCAGCTGTTTGCTCTGTACTGTCAATCACAGAAGCAGGGAGAGTCTTCTTCTTGACGGGGACGGAAGCAGCTCAACTGCATTTAAAGACACTGAAACAGTCTGTAAAGAACTGGACTAAAACCTGTGGTTATACAATCACGGCGTAATGAACCATCTGTGCTTTATTTTGTGCTGAAATACTGAAAGACACATTCTGGGGACATGTGAGACTTTCATTACTGTGCTACGGGCATTGCTTAAACTCCTAAAACTCACGTCTGTGCATCAAAATGACCCTTTTAGGAGTAATTTTTTTCCCCATGAAAAGAATCCATTCATGCCTTAAAAATGGCTCAGATATAACTGCCTCTGCTAGAATCAGCAGTTTTATGAAGTCGGCGTCTCTTTTTCAACTGCCCCCTCAGTCTCTCGCTACAGCTTGAGCTCATACATAGATGTTTGAGCATTAAAAAAAAAACAACAACAACAACAAAAAAAACAGTTCAGTCAAGATGAATAATGATACGGAAAGCCCTATCACACAAATTGATGGGATTGGATCCTTAGGTGTGTTACATATGAAACTCTGGCTGTCTGAATCCATGTGTTTGACACTGTCATGGGTAAACTGCAGTTTCAAGGAGAAAATGTTCAGGCATGTCTTTGACTGTTTATTTCGCTCATGATGTTTCTTCTAGCATTTAAAAAACACCAAATGGACATGTTAGATCAAGTTGAAATCTTGATTTTCATTGGATGGGGTCTCAAATATCACAGTCACAGGGCTACGTAATCAAAAATGTCATGAATGTATGTATTAAAAGTAAATTTGAACTCTTCGGGTCGTCCTACAACACAACATAAGCTAGTAACCACTTCAGAAAAGCTTCTTCTGCTTGTACTTTTTCCTTCTTTCAGTTAATCACCTATCAATCTTTTCTTTCATTTGTTTTGGTGTGAAGTTCTCCCTCCTGCTTCTTCTCTCCTTAGATTTGCTCCCTAAAGGTCTTGAGGATGCTGGCTATGAATATTTCACTAAACTGCATTCTCAGGTTATCAATAATAAAATGCCATATTCTTATAAATATTCTAAAAATACAGCTGGACTGTGCCTCTTCAGTGGTGCATTAAAAATTCATACACACCTAGCAAGCGGCTAAATCCTCCACCATAACAGACCTATATGGACATGACTGCTGGACTGTGTGCAGGTGTTTTTCTTCTCACTTTTATGCTTTTGTGTTTGCATGTGTGTGTGTGTGTGTGTTCGCGTTTGTCCGTATTTGTTCTGTGTCTAGCGCATCTTCAGCGGCTGTCAGCACACAGTGTCTTGGTGAATCAGTCCAAGTTTGGTGAAAGCTAGAAAAGTGCTAAGAGAGGTGATTCACATTGTCAACAGTCTGAATCACCACAGTCTAATAGTACAGCACTCTATCATTACAGACAGTTAAACACCGGTCTCTGCAGCCCACACACGCTTCCTGCATACAGCCTCAAATACTATCTCTTTCTCTCCCAGTCACATGTACGCAAAATGCATTCTTGGTCTCAGACACGCATCGTTTTGCTCCCTCACCGTGGCGAGATGTCACAGCCCTGTTGCATGAAGGCTCCCAGTGAGAACCACAGGGAGTTGAAGATGCCAAACTCATTGGGAGGTTGGTCAGTGGGGCCCTGCTCAGTGGCTCCCTCCTCTGGTTCCTCTGCATGCCACTCATACGGACTGAAGCGACTCACCTGCGACAGCAAAAGAAGAAGAAGTGATCAACACTGTAAAGATAGACAGAGCCGAACAAGTGCATCAAAATAACAATTCAAAACGCATTAAAGGTCTTGCACATCTACACAATTGTTTTTCTGGCTGAAACACGTCTGGTCAGGTTGATGTTGGCGGAGCAAATACATGATGTCACCTGACTCCACGTGCTAATATTGGGGATCTAATGAGCCAAAACTATGAAATCCCATATGTATTTATTCCATAGGTGTGCAAAAAACCTTTAAAAGTAGATATAGGCAAATTAACAGTGAGAGAAGTCCATTTAACAACTGTCCTAACAGATAAAATAAAGAAAACCTTGGAGGATGTCCTTCTGAATAATGTAAAAGCGTAAATGGCTTTGAATAGTCAGACACTTTGGTATCACAGGAGTTATGCTTCTGCAATTTTATTATGTGAAAATGAGCATCTTAAATCTTAAATATCTCACATTAAGTATTTGCATTTCTCGCACACAATGCTCTCTGTGATGCCTTGAAGTACTAAATGATTTCCCAAAAGCTTTTTAAATTTAAACAGTAAATGACATTCTAGTTGAGGCCGTAAGGCAATGTCTTCATAGCTATTGAATTATTAACTGCATTTAAGTATCGAAGGGTTTTAATAACCTGTAAAACATATAAATGGTGAACTCTTAGAGGAGCATCAAGATAGCATGATAACACCAAGTTATTATAGTGTCAGAAAAGTGCATCTAAAAGTAAAAACCGTCATGAAATGTTGACCGAACTGACTTCAGATCAACAGCAAATGTGTCCCAATAGGATATACATGAGCAGGAGGTCTCTGGTTCAGACAAATTTTTAACTTGGGACCTAAAGAAGGGATCTATTCCTTCATTCCCCAACTCCAAACCTTCAATAACTCTTCTGTGACAGTCCTGCAATCCAACTCACGTGCTGACTTCTAGATCGCAACAACCACTCACCAAAAACAGCACAACACTGACTCCGATGTAAGCGAACACTATGCACATCCAGATCTCGTAGGCCAGTGGGTCCAGGAAGGAGAAAACACCTGGTTTGGACTTCTGAGGCTTTTTGATCATGATGGAGATGCCCAGAGACATGAAGGGCTTGGAGAAGTCGATCACCTCCTCCCTCACCAGAGTGATTGTCAGCGGGGCCACTGCAATTTCTGCTTTCTGCAGAGAAATGGGGGTGGGGCAGAGAGTTCATTTCAGTCACATTATAACGCAGATAATTCACAGCAAATGCATATATAAAAGGTAAGTGATCGTGACTAGGAAGCAGCCATGAACAAAGCAAAGGAAGCCGAGGAGGGGTATCGCAAGTGAGAGAAGACGGAGGGAGAGGGATGGCCAGAATGACAGAGGAGTAATTCATACAGTACGTAGGCATGACAGTGACACATCCAGAATACAAAACAGTCAGCAAGGTCTCACACACATTTGCATGCCTGAGCATACACACACACACACACACGCACACACACACACACACACAATCTGTAGAAGAATCAAAAAAACAGCATTCATTCAGCACTCTAAGCATCAGTTTCTGAATAGCTGCGTGTGTCTAAACGTCTGCAGCCGTAACTGAAAAAAGCTACAACAGCAGCATATCAAATAACAAGTTTTCCTTCGCTACAAAGAGTGAAGATGTTGTAATGCAAGGAGAATAAACAGCAACAGAAAAACAACGAAGTGATATGGGCAACAAAACAGGGAGGAGAGGGAAGGGAGGGAATATCAAAAACCCACGCAACTCAACAGGAAGAAAGATTAAATAAATCCGAGCTAGAAAGCAGGAGACAAAACTACACAACGAAGTGTTGAAATGTATTTTCTCTGTGTGGAAGAAGAGTGACAGGAGAGTCATGAGGAAGGACTGTGAGTGTTTGGAACAAATCAAACGTGATTAGTCAGTGTAGCCGTTCTGCTGTGTCACCTTCCACTACGGATTCTGGAGCGTAATTAATTCCGTCACTGTTCTGCAGCAATGTTTCCACTTTCAGTCTTCCTCAAAGTGACGACTGACATTGTCTTCAGCGTATCGATAAAGTTTGCATTCTGGCAGCAATGTGAAATCTCAGACTGCACACGAGAGTCCATGGCATAATTAGTCGGCTTGGCAAATCCTCAAAAAAAAGTAAGTTGAAGAATTGTTGACAGCATCTCTGCAGGACGCTAATGAAGGACAGCTCGAGACAAGTTTATGGACTGCATGAAGCTTATTTTGAGCATTTCTCAGCTATTGTGGAATGTGTAGCCAGTGTATCGTATATGGCCTTTGTGTACTTGCATAGCGAGAGGTGTGGATTCCTAGAGATCATCATGTGTGTGTGATCTAATTTCAAGACTCTAATCTTTAACAAAACAAAAGGAAGAAACAAATCCAACACTGTAACTGCAACCAACTGTTGTCCATCCTTACCCCATACACAAGCTCGCCGACCATCCCATTCCATATCTTTGTCTCTGGGTCCCTGGCTCCATATTTCCCATCTGGTACGATGGAGATCTTGTATTTGATCCCGATGTGTTTGGCGATCTCCGAGGCCAAGTCCACACAGTATCCCTCATACTTGTCGTTACCTTCATAAAGCTCCCAGTTCTTCTTCAGCATCACATAAGGACCCTCCTACAAAACCAGCATAAGGGGAGAAAGACAACTGTTTGGAGGAACATGGCAGCAGCGATCAAGAGGAACCAGCAGTTTGGTTGTCAACAAAGTCCCAGAGGAAAAACACATACAGAAGCAAAGAGAATGTTTTCTTAAAAAGAAACTTATATTACTTTTTCAAACATACCCAGAAGGATGCTATAAAATAGACCAATGCAATGCTGCCGACTGGATTCAGTTCTACTTTAAGTGGAAATGAGCATCTGCAAATGCCATATTTTGATCTCAACCATAGCATGGTAAAATATATGCACATCATTTTTAGAGACTGAAATTACTTTACGTGTAGGATCCATCATCACACATCTACCTCTTTATGTAGATGCATGTTTTTGCAACTGTTTGAGAGGGAAAACATTTAATATACAAAAATCTTTTTGGGATAACACAGCAGCCACCAAAACATGATGGAAACAGATCGACGAAATGAGAAAAAAAAATAAAACATTACAGCTGTTTAAAACACAATGTCTCAGGTAGATGTTTTATATCCTGTGTTTCTGACTTCGAGCGCCTTATTTTATCGTCTGACTCCCCACGACTCCGCTGGGACCTTCACCTGACTTCACTACAACGCTAATGTTGAGAGCAGAGAAACGTTCAAGGGAGAAGAAAAACACTGAGATGATGGAGAAAAAGAAAGGAAGGTTGCTGCTTTCATAATGTGCCGTAAGAGGTGGAATGATTCCTGTGCATGCACTTAACAAAGATGAAAGCAAAGAGAGAGTTTAATGTTGTCTAGTGAGACGGTGGGCGTATTAGGAATGACACACACACAAAAACATTACCGCACCGAGGATATCTGCAGAGAAAAGAAACACACACACACACAGACTTTTGAATGACAGCGCATCTATCAGGCGCAATGAGTTATGGTATTATGCCTGGGGCTGCTCACCCTGTAATCCAGCTGAAACCAAGCCTATTAAAATGTTATCAAATCCTTTTTAATCAAAGACTAATCTCATCTAATTAATCAAACAGGCTTTTATAATATCCAGCATTCTGAAGCTACGGAACAGTTTATGAAGATAATAAAATACAATAAAACACGATAACATATTGTGGATTGAATTCTTCATTCAGGAAATCGACTCACGCTAGAAAACAAGCACAGTTTAATCAAGGAGGATATTTATACTGACATGTTAAAAAAAAACAAACAAAAAAAAACGGTCAAATGAGAAATAAAATCACTCTATCGTAGATCTGGGAGGAATCGATGGAAGATTCTTCAATCCAGGAAATTAAAGTACATTGAAAACAAGTCTAGCCCAGAGGCAGGCAGGCAGACAGAGGGATTAAATCAGCACAGTAAGAAATGAACAATACAAACATAACCTACAAAGGGAAGTTGGATTTCTGTATTGATCCTTTTCCTCTTCAGTAAACAAGGAGGTTGAAATTAAACCATTTACTTATGTAGTTGTGTATGACTAAGAGTAAAATAGGGATTTTTTTTTTTTTTTTTTCAATAAGGGTATTCAATGGTCTCACTTGTATACAGGTGTGGACGTGATTCATTGTTTTATATATAGTATCTGTTCAGTATTTTGGTTTAGGACAAAATATCTGCATAGCGGCATTCACATCAGCCTCTGGAGGAGTAATATGGTGAAAACAGGGAAACAATATGCTTGATAACATCTAAATGGTGTCATGTTATTTTAAGCATCTAAGTCTATAGATTGACTTCATCATCATTAACTTGCACTGTTTTCAAGAAGAACGAACTGTTTTTAAGATCACCACTTTCTTTAGGAAGCACACGTCAACTTCTTTTCACATAAACAAACAGCAACAAATAATGGAAATAAAAGAAAATAATGAAAAATACTTTCAAATTACATACACAGATTTAGAGACAAATACACATTTTAAAATAAACAAACAAGCAAAAAAAAAACAAAAAAACTACATTCTCATATTTCTTACAAGCCATTATTCTGTCATCAATATAACATTTGTTAAAACAAAATTCCCACCCCCAAAACCAACCACAAAAAGGAAGAATCAGCTCTTCTTTTCACATTACATTTTTATCACCGCCATCATTATTATCATCAAATACAAAAATTTGCCCTTTTTGTGTTCAGTGTCAGAACGCACAAAAACATTTCTCCTCAAATGTCATTATCAGAGACATTAGCGGTTCCCGGGGCACTCATTCCATTGACTCAACATGAATCATAATGTTAATGAACAGCAAAACAGTTTCAAGTAAATCCCCTCTAACAAAGCCACAAACACTGCTCTGCAGCAGGGACAAAAAAAAAAAAACAAAAAAAAATAGGGATGTGCACTGAAAATCATGTCTTAAAGGTCAACACCAGTGGATTTGAAAGTTGGAGCCTAACGACTGTTTGTTTGTTCATTATTGTCTTGCTGCTCACACTGCACCCTGTGCTGTACGACTGCATTTTTTTCAATTGGGTTTTTTTTTTTTCATATTGTTTTGCAATGATGGTTCCAAATCTGGTGTGTTTTGATATTGCAGTTTGTGAGCGAACACACTTGAAATGTGCTTTTTGGCAGACTTTATGTAGTGCATTTCTTCCACTGAATGACACTTAACTGCCTGCAATGTTTGGCACATTCTTCAATGGAAAAATAACAGTTTGAGCACAGAGATGGAGGTAAAAAAACAAACAAACCCTCAACAACATAAATAGATGTAACATCGGCCGTATGGGAATATTTAGTACAGTTTATATTAAGCATGGACGTAATTACATTCTTAAGAAAAATCCTCAAAACAATTTACTACTGGGCAGACGCCTTTGAATATAATGAAACACAAATTCAAACATTCGGAAACATTTAACTTTGAGCTTTTGTACAGTGATTGTGTTCTACTCATTTAATGGAGAGAAAGGATCAGCACTGCATACTGTCATTTTAGTCACTGTTAATTCAGCAATTCTTATTCAGTGATATCAAAGTCAGTTTAAAAAAAAATGTTTTGGGAAATATGCTTATTCGCTTTCCTGCTGAGACCTAGATGAGACGAGTGATACCGCTCTCATATCTTCAAGTTAATTATGAAGCTGCAGCCAAGACTCCGCTAGCTTAGCTTAGCATGATGCCTGGAGTCTTGTCCTCACCATGAGGCTGCAGGCAACCAGTGGACCAGCTGGGAAATACAACATTCCAACTAATGAGATGTAACATGTTAATTAGTGAGCTTCAGGACTGCTAGGTACATTTTTATTTTTTACCTTGAGGCAGCTAACCTGCTGCTGGCTCCAGGTAACTCATCCCTGCAGCAGCCCCACATACCTCGTAATAACTTCTCATGTAAACACAGACATGAGTAATAGCTTAAACTGAAGAAGGCACTTGTTCCAATTTATTTAGGAGCTTAAATTACTAAATGTACTTATCTCAGTGACAATGTAGGACACTAAAATGTTTGGGAAAAAAAAGACTGATTCGGATTTAATTCGTGACGTGAATTTCCCTGGTGGGGAATCAATAAAGTTTATCTTCATTTTGTGCAGTTAACCTACTACAAGTCTTCAGATTTTACATTTGGATTCCACACAATGCATCCGATTTCAGGTTGACATGTTATAAGTGTTGTTCATATCATGCACTCATTGGACAGTGTTTTCCAAATTGTGAAATCACAGTAGAACTTATAAACATCTAATGTCATATATTTGTGGCTCAAGTTGTGAATGATTTTAGGATCTGCAGTTGTATGATATACCATAGTTTTACTTCTTAACCCTATTTAGGACTTTCATGTTGCCATACGTAGAAGGTCTTTTGGGGTCCATTGGACCCCAAGAAAGAATATGTGCAAAACATTTGTTGGTATTCATTATAGACCTTTATACGATGTTAAATACATTTTCTGATAAGCTGACGTGTTTTTGGTTCCAAATGCATGACAAATGTCCCTCTTTTTATATTTAAAAAAAATCTTTTTAATAAAAAAACCATATCTGTCACCTAAACCAAATGGCCTGGGGTCCAAACAACCCCAAAAGTCCTGAATAGGGTTAAGCAACTTGTTTCACATGTAAACAGATCTTAAAATCTGATGTTCTCACCAGCGTTAGGGAGTAGAGAGTGGCATCGCTCTCCTCATCGAAACTCTCAGGAAGTCAAGTTATGAGCACAGTTATTCTCTGGGTAATTTGTACATAAAGTGCTGAAATCTAAAATATGCTTTCTGGTGAATTGTCTTTGATTATTTTCTCATCCACATATTCACACTAGCTAACCGGCTCCCACATTGAAAGTCCTACAGGGGCCTGACCCTTGGAAAAACTAAACATGAGAGCTATTTTGTTTTTTGTCTTAAACCGTGAATTTCAAGGGGATTCATTTACTTAATTTGAGTTAAGGAGAATACAGCATCTCAGTTACCAGATCAAGTGTATGAAATCAGAGGAGGCTACTTTGTTGGGTTAATTTAGTATTATGTAAGCAGCTATACATGAACAGACGCGAACATAAAGATACATGCATATCAGTGGGAACTCTGGCAACAGTGGCAGTGTTTCACTTTAAAATCTCCTTAAGGTTTCTTATCAGTTTGCTCCAGACGCTTTTGTCTTGGTGTGAAGGTACTAATGCCAACGCTGTGAGTGAGTGCGGTTGTGTGTACGTGCTAGATGCTGGTACAGGGAAGCAAGAAAGCATCATATTTGGGTGTTTCCTAATGTGGCATCACGAGTCAGAGCAAGACAAGTAATGGGAGGTGAGAAGAGGTGACAGGAGAGGACGAAACAGGACCAAAAATCTGTGGGTTGAAAGGAGAAAAAAAAAGGGAGGGCATGGGAAAGAGAAACAGGAGGAGAGAGAGGGATGTGGGGCATATTGACGGCATGAAACTACAGAGGAAAGATGAGAGAACAGATCAGAATACAAACAGAGATAGCCACAGGGAAAATGGAAGATAGATAGAAAGTGAAAAAGAGAGAAAGTGTGAAGGAGAGATTAAGAGAAAGAGGGAATATGACAAAAAGAAAAATGGAGAAGAAGAAGAGAGAGCAAGTGAGAGAGGGGATGGGCTGAAAAGACAGACATAAAGAGGGAAAATGGGTGGGTGAAAGAGGGAGAACAGCTTTGTAGAAGCAAATGGTTGGGGCTGATAAGACATGAAACACTTCACACTGGAGCCAAAAAGGCAAACAGGACTTGCTATGTAAGCCAGTTAGCCAGGCAGCGGAGAAGACAGGCACCCAACTGGACAGTCACCTAACTGTCCGGTTATTCATTCAACTTGCCAACCCAACGCTCAATCAGTTCAGCGTTTAGAAAAGCCTGATTGTCACCTAACAAGTTAGCTGGGCCTGCAAGCCTGCGAGTCATCCATTCAGAGGGCTGTAGAGGCAGTCAGTTAGTCACAGGCTGTTTCAGTCAGTCACTTGGTCAATCAATCCATTTATTAAGCAATTACTGCAATTACAGAACATAATCATCTATCCAGGCACATCTTTGGCCAGTGAGTCAGCATGATTATCTCCCAGCTATTTAGCCATCAAAGGAGCCGGACAGTCCAGCAGTTAGTCAGACAGTCGGTCATTTGAGCAGTCAACCAGTCACCACAGCACGCTGCCGGGCACTACGTTAACCAGCTTGTTATCGTGTCAGTCGGTCTGTCACCAAATCAACAAGTTCGACAGCTAATTCGCGGGTCGGCCAGGTGACCACAACAGAGAGGAATACATCAGGCAGCCGCTTACTTCGTCAAACTATCAGGTAACTAATTAGCCAAAAACATACTTGTTAACCAGTCATTCAGCAGTCAATCAGCAAACCAGAATACACAATATGAAAGAACAACATTTTCAAAAAAACAATCTGTATTTGTTCTTCTTAATAAAATGTATTATATAATCCTAATTTGTATGTTTTGCTTAGAAACTAACAAATTACGTCCCCTGGCTGATGTAAATTGTCCATCTGCAGCGCTGAGTCTCAGTGTACATCTCCTTACTCATCCTAAAGAGCCCTAAAGAAGAGGAGCATTGCCCTTTCATTTAGAAATACACTGGAAAAGAGTTGAACAATATATTTTTTTTAATGCACTGCGTGCAATACAGCACTTTTTGATAATTCAACCAGCCTTAAAATGTAAATTGAAAATCCAACTGAACTGATAAGATGTATTTAATATTGTATTATATTAAACCAATCTGAACATACAACACTGTTAGAGGTGTGTTGTGTGCTGAAGTGAATTGAGGCCGGAGCGGGCTATATTTGGACTGAAGGTACAGTAAGAGCACATTAGTAAAGGCCGATAGCAATAGGCTTAACAATCAATCCCCATCAATGCAACCTTAAAGGCTGTGTTTGTGTTAATGCACATGTGCGTATACTTCTTATTGAGTGAAAATGTAAGAGGCTGCATGTGTGAATGACCCACTATGGCAGCAGCTATGTGTCTATGTAAATGGGTGTACACAGTCACTTTTCATTTTTCATTTCAGCGGTGACATTGCCAGCGTCAATTGCATGTCAGCGTATGGTGAGTTACAACTGCAATTTTCAGGGGAGTTTCTGAACATATTGCACTTTCACATCTGTAGTGTGCAAAGACAATCAAAATATCACCGTGGATGTAACATCAAATGCAAGTTAAGACATGAATAAGGGTGTTATTTCGATGTCAGACGGGTTATAGGCAAACGCCACCAGCACTGCGCAAAACTGAAAGAACTTCTTTACTTTACCCTTCCATTTAGGTGTCGAGATTCAAAAACCCTCTCAAAGGAAAGGTGACCGAGTAGCCATGACTGAGTAGATTTACAGAGTGACAGAGCAGAAAGATGAAGATGGAGGGAGAGCTGTATCAAAAGATGAGAGCTCCGGGATGCAGGACTGACAAACAGTCCTGCCTCTTCCAACACTTTCTCTTAAAAACAAAATAAAATAAAAAAAAGAACAATGTAAAAATTATAGAAAACAGATTATAGCTGAGGCTGAGTTTCTCCTGCTGGTACTCTGTGGTGTAACACAGAGGATGGTGGGGTGACTGCGGTGTCCTCGAAAGGAATGAAAGGATCTGAATTAAGAGTGCTGTTCCACAGTCTGGTGATTTTGTGTGGCCAAATGTCAGACCTTGACAGAGGCCACAGAATCCCTCGTAGAGCTCTCGTCCAGCTGTGGCTTTTCTCATGAGAGGAAGACAGGAGCACAGCAAGAGAGGCAACCCAGTGCCGCACAGGCTCAAAGTATAGTGGCCCTGAACCTCCTTTTCAACTGTTCTTTATGCCATAGTAACTGCAGGGCAAAGCACTTCTAAACAGAGGAATAATATCAGCTTTTCAAACAAAACATACATAAAGAAAAAATCAAAACAGTCTTTAGAGAAACTCGCTCTATCAGTCTCTCTCTCTTTCCCAAAGGTTTGCAAATCAGGTGAGTCTGTGTTTCAGTCTCTTGCTCTGTCTGCAGACTCGGCGTCAGTGTCGCTGCAGAGGCTTCCTCATCATCAGAGGCTGCAAAGAGGAGGAGGTGGCTGAGCTAACGTTAGTCAAGGCCTGCTGAGGTCACCATCCACATAGAAATATGCGAGGGTTGCAGGCATGGGGGTAAAAACAAAGGGAGTGGAGATTTGAAGAGATGAATAGAGTTAAAGAGACAAAAAATGACAGGGAGTGAGAGAGATGGAAAGAGAGAAAAGACAGAAAGTGTTGGAAAAAGTCAGATGACAGACAGACATGTGAGGGGAGCACTACGGAGGGAACAAACAGTTAAAACATGTGCACGGTAATGCCAAACTCAGTTCTGCTCATCTCTTTTGCAACCACATAAAATGAACGTAACACTAGGTCCACAGCCACATGAACAACGACCAGTGCGATATATTCTAACAGTGATGTTATATTAACATAATATTCACATCATCAAAATAGGACTCTATCACAGACTTGCCCTTTTATTTATCTGAAACCGTTGATGTATTTGCTTGTCTTGGACCTGACTCCAGGCACGAAACCACACACTGCACTGGGGTTTAATACATTGCCAGTTGAAGTGTGCATGTCTGAAGGCAGAGCTGTCACAGGGGACATTTAATCCAGCTGAATTCATTTTTCTGAACCCGTTACAGCAGCATGTGTGGCTGTTTTTTCTCCGTTGCCGACCCGACTGGCAACGCAGTAGTAACTGCTCCTGGCCACCGGAGGCACTGCAGACTTTCCCTGTATTATCCAATCTTTGAACAGTTATCCATTTTAGAGGTATTTGCACGAGCGCTACAGTAAGCACAACTACAGATATTTTGGTCACATTTATGAGTTTGCTGGATGCAGCAATGTGCCTTGAAACAAAACAGTGAATTAACCAAAGCTCAAGCATCTGTGGCTTGTTTTATCTCTGGGCTGAAATTAGTCTTTTGAGTTGCTTTCACTTGCATCATTTTGCATGCCCAATTGAATTAGACTGATTGCATTTACAGGAAGGGGATGGCCACCATAAAAAGGCTGCAGATGGGTGAAGTGAAATCAAATGTAAGCAGAGGATGTGCACAAATCCACCGATTATGCCTCCTTTATTCTTGTTTGCGGAAGAAAGGGGAATAATTAAACTGGGTTGCTGTGCAGTGTCTATGCGAAACCCATTAGAAGAGACTGGACTGAGGTCACTTCTAAATGGTGATCTGAGGTCAGTTTTAGATTTGCCTACTAATGAGACATTAGTGTAATCTTCCAGCTGGACAAGTGCCACTCCCTCCTGGCTGTGCTGTGAAGCTCTCCAAGTTGTACAGCTCATCTATCTCCAACCTGTTTTTTTTTTTTCTCTCGACGTTAACTAAGTTCTGCCACTCGACTGCTTTGGTGCACTTCATCCTCTTGCACTGAGAGGTAAACTTCAGCTTCCAGTTCCACTGAAACTTGAATCACTTCTGTAACAACTGCACACTTTTTTAACTTACGAAAGCTGTTTGCACGTGTTTACTGATTATAATTGTGAAGAGTAGACGTTTTCCTTTCTGCTCTATTTCAATAAAGAATAATAATCAACAAAAGAGTGGAAAACCTGAAAAAAACACATGATAATACCTTGCTAAAGTGCAGTTTTCTCCTGTTCTGTACTGCTACCTACAATATTCACAGCATGCTTTCTGGCTCTCCGGCAGCAGATGTGCACAGTATGTGAACAAATGTGCTCTAAACTACATTAACAATATGGCTGCTGAAGAACAGTTTCTCTGCTCCTGAAATGTTTCCACTTCCACAAGGTTTAATCACGTTGTGACCCCTTAGATGTGTCTTGCAACCCCTTGTATGGATTCTAAACCACCGGTTAGGAGGCATTTTACTTCAGTAGCGTCTGTAACACATTGCTGCACTTTGTCTTGTCTGGCCACATTAATGCTGTAGCCAGTGTTTCACCACAGTGACTACAAATTTCACACTAGTTTTTTTTTGTGGAAACTAATCTTCTTTGAAAACCAAGGTTTGCCTTTTCCCTAGTTCTTCCTGTACTACACACTCACTTGATCTTGCTGGAGAAAATAAAAGAAAACTTGTTACAAGAGGTATTAATCAGGTGTTCTGACATCTGTCATTTGCATTTCCATCAATTTCCGTCTGCATTAACTTCAAGCCTCTACAACGAGGAGTCGGGCGAAAGAAAGATTTTGTTGAAATTAGTTTGTGAATATGAAAAGACTGATTGTCACTGCTGAAGGACAGCTTCATCTGAAACTTAAACAGAACCCAAGCTACGGAGAAATGAAAGCAGTTGGAGGGTACATTACCATGATGGTTGTCACGACAACTGTCCGATTCTCCATCGGTGAGCTGTCATTGGACAGAGCATTTTCATTCTGGACCAACACGAGTTTGTCTATGTCGTTCCAGTACCCAATCTGAGGTAAACACAGGGAGAAAGGGGGAGAGAGTGAATGTGAATGAGAGTGATAAGAGGAAAATATCATTTAGTAAATTTTCAATCAATCCTAGCCTTGCACAGTTTATGCAAAAAATGGAATTCAAGGTACGTGCCATAAAATCAAAGTGGAGGAGATAAAAAAGAAACATTACAAGCAATGGAGTAAATGAGATGAGAGAAACAACAGAAAGTGAAAAATAAGTCAACAGAATGAGCGAACTCCAGCAAATTTCCCATTGGAACTGTAGAGGATATTGAGTGGGAGCCAAGAACCTTCAATAAACACACAGTGCTGTTGAAGGAACAGTTTTGATGGTGGAACATGGTGTTATTTCTTTATTAGAAATGCTTCATGTATGCTTTTTTAAAAAAAAAATTATTTTAACAGGAAAGAAATTATAAGAGTGAATCTTATCCTGCTACTTTTTTTTGATTAAGATGACGGATTATGTTCCAACTTCTTATTTCCGTCACTTGCAGGATTTGATGTACTCCCAAAGCGATTAAGCTGCGATGGTTGGTTTGCTGTAGTTACATAAAGTTATTTAAAACTGCAGACAGACAGTTGTTAATAATGAATAATGGAAACAATTACGAAGTAAATTAGTTCTTTTTTTTAGGGATGAGGGATAAAAAAAAATAAAATAAAAAGTAGCACACATTGAATAGTACAAGAATTATCCTTTAACAATAACAGTAAGCATGTATTCTTTCAATTGCTATTAAAAATAAAGTTCCTGCTGAAGCATCACATTTGCTGAAACAATGTCTTTTGACATTATTTTCAGCAACACAGCCTAAAATATGACAAAAAAGCCATAATTTGTCTGTGGTTTTAAGTGTTTCACAAATGTCAAGAGTTTTTGTTTGTTTCTAGGCCGCGAGGAGAGCCTACCTTGCGTGGTCCGTTGCTCTTTAGTTCAAACACATCCATGGTGTAATTGACTCTCCGACCGTAGTGATCAAACTGAATATTCCCGGTCAGGCCCTGAATTCGCACCTGGATTTATTTCAACAATGACAAGAGAAAAAATAAAAAGTTAAGATTACACTCACTGAACAGTCAGAAATATAACTGGAGAGCGGTGTAACTGTTTACAATGCAGCCAAACAAGCAGTATATACATATTTGTATTTTCAAACAGTTCAATGCTTTTTAACAGGAAGTAGCAGCAGAGAAAAGACTTTGTATTTGCAGTAATGCAGTGCCCAGTAAACAGTCAGGCTGATTTCAGGGATTTTGTTACAGAATATTCTCCATTACATGCAGGGACATCATACTAACTCAATTTGAATCCACTGTTGGAAGGGTGGACATTCCCACTGACAATACTAAGTGCTAGTAAGCGTCCATAATTATTCAATTTTAACAAAATGTGGCAAAATTTATTTAAAAAAAAACTGAATATGGATAGTTTAGAAAATGGTAACAATTTTTCAGTAAACAGAAAAACAAATCTGCCTCAACAAGCTGAGAATCGGTTTCAGGGTTGGAGTTAGAAGAATGGCTTGGTTAAGGTTAGACGTTTTAGAGATATATAGCACTTATTGTGCTCAAAGTCAATGCAAGTGCAGCAGTAAAAGTCTGAGTGATGAGTGTGCGCAGATTCCAATAAAGTCCCAACAAGAATTTAAGAAAAACATTAACATGAGCTCAGATTTCTGGAACATTTTGTCCTTTGTCATGCCAGCTGTGTTGGTGATTGCATTTGTTAATGTGTTTGTGTGTTTTTGCACATCTGTCTAAGCCTTTGGCAATCTGTTCACGCTAAACTTGAACATCAGACTGATGCCAACCTGTTTGAGCGCACGCTCCATATCTATTCCTTGGTTCCAGGGAGCAGCTGGATTGGCCAGGCAGTCGCCAGCATTGCCGCGGCGACTGATATCGATTTTTTGACGGCGAAGGGTGCGGAAGGCCTCAGCCATCACAAGGACACCATCGTAAGTTAGAGATGAGGTATACTATAGAATAAGAAAAAAAAAAAAGTAGACAAACAAGTGTTATTTCCACATAAGTACATGATATGAGAGAAAATGACTCTGCCATACAATTTCAGTTTCACTCACAGATACTGCAGAAATTCTAATTCCCATCCTTTAAATATGTCAAAAGACACTGAAAAGTGATAATAAATGTGCAAAACATTCTCAGTATTTATTAATTTCCAATTCCTCAAAAACTCCAGGTCTGATTTGCTATGATGAGCATCATTTGCTGTTATGAGCAGTTACCTGTGAATTCAAGCAGCCTGAGCGTGATAAACATTTACAATCATGTGCACTGAATTCTGTGTTTAGGTTTCATTGAGAGACTGTTAATTTTAAAGAGATGTTTCATCATAAGCATTCCAATCCACTTATTTCAGTGCTGGAAACCCCCAAAAATCGAGCAGTAAAATCACCACGGACATCTTCTGAGCCAAAGCAGCCCAAGCAAACAATGCAGAGATACACTGTGAGATTATGGCATTCAATCTTGAAATGAGAATCAAATCAATCTCAAGAACTGCATTGCTGCATCAGGGCTTAGCTTAACTCTATATAAGTAAACATGTTCAGTATGCAACGTGCTGACCAGTGCTACAATCTATCTCACTGCTCTCACTTTTATTTGACTTCCATAGTTAACACCAGTGAGCATCAATCAGCACCACTGTAAATGTAACATCACTGTAAATGTGCCAGCTTCAGACAGCCTTATTGTTGTCAAATACAGTCACTGGACAGGATCTGAAAGCCATTAAAGTGACATTCAAATGTGTTTAAATCATACAGTGAGCTTGTTTATCAAGGGAGTTCCCTCAGATGGAGAAATTTAAGCTGGCGAGATCCATAAATGTTTCATTGCGTTATATTCTACAACATGCTTTAGCACTTTAGAAACAACTTACAACAAGAAAAAAAAACAGCGTTTTAAGGGACAAGTGAAACAAGATAGTGAGTAAGAACAAGCGACACATTATGACTATCTGCTCTCTAATGAAACTCTTAAAAGTGGCAGTGATCTTGACAGATTGTTTGACAAATTCATTATAGGTAAGACAGAGCGCTGCGGGGAACAATACCCCACTCAGCAGCTGCAGCAGCAGCAGCACCCAGAACACACACAGACGCTCAGTGCCACACAGACTGAGGCAGTCAAACTCACAGCGGGCTGCCTTCACATAACGGCGGAAACAAGTGGAGAAATGAAAATGCGAGGACACGGGGAAGACGGCTGAGATACTCTGCCGACGCTCTCCGCGATTCTGCAGGTCGTTTCTCTCGTGCTGACATCCCTTGATTTGTATACGACAAGGTGTGTTTTGGAAGGCTGCACAACCATGTCATCCTCCTTTCATCTCTACCCTTTGAAACTAAAGAAGCCTTTAGGCGTGTGACTGACAGATGATGACTATAGAATCCAAATCAAGGGGAAAACAACACAACTGAGCTATTTTCTGTCTCTGTCAGGGGCAGGACAGAAACACCTTTGGGATACATAGAAAACAGAAGTGAAAACACCAAATCGTAGATAATGTTTTCAAGATCAGATCAAATCTCTGAGTTTAGCTAAAACCCACTAACTCAAGACCAATTTCCTCTTCTTTTATTTTATTTTACCTTCATTTAACCAGATAAAAGACCCATTGAGATCGAAACGTCTTTCACAAGGGTGATCTGCCCAAGAAAGGCAGCAGGACGCGTCCACAAATAAACACAACAGAACAATCACAAAATAAACATTAAAAATGCTAAGTGTAGACAGTAAGCAGATAAAGTACAGGACTGATGACTTCAGTAACAGTTTAAAACACCATCTCTTCAAATGTGGATTCTAAAGTAGGATAAAAAAAATAAAAAATGAACACAAGTTTAGTGTAACATTCCATATCAGGGCAGGGAAGTGATTTATAAATGATGTATTAAGTAAATGAAAGCATGTGCTTTTCACACACATTTATAAAAAATGAATACAGTGCATTTAGAATGTACGTATCTGCATTCAAGCTTTACACCAAGTGAACTGACTTGAATGAGATTAAGCAATGTTACAAGGAGCTAAAGTCAAAATCTCTTTATTCATTCATACATTTTTCACTTGTATGATATGCCAATGTCAGGCTAATTGATTGCTCAACACACTTTTGTACAAACTAAGAAATCTCAACAGCATCAAGTCAGTGTTTGACTTTGTCTAGTACTTTGTTTTATAGTCAAATCCCTGAAAGAAACTAGAAACTGATCAGTGCTTCAAATGTTAGCATGCTAACACGCTAAGATAGAGAACTTGGTCAGCAATATAACTGCTAAACATCAGCATAGCATTTTGTGCATGTTGGCATTGAGTTCAAGTACTATAGTTTCAAAGAGATCCAAGTGTGGCAATATGACCGATTAGCCACAACGTTAAAACCGCTGATGGCATTGATCATCTTGTGACAATGTAATGTTTTGCTGGGAAACCTTGGGTTCTGGCATTGATGGGGATGTTACTGTGACACATATCACCCATTTAAACGTTGTTCCACACCAAGGACGCTCCCCCATCTCTATTGAACTCCCCGAGAGCAGGATAACTCACATCGCCACATAGCACAAGTTGCTCAGGAACAGCTTGAGGGACGTGACAAAGAGTCCAAGGTGCCTCCAAACCAGTGACGTGTGGTGAGGTTCATGGCTGGTGAGGCACTGTCTTCATCAGAATCTGATTTACAAATATATGCCCTCTACACAGTAGCATATTTGCCATTTGATTGGCAGCAGTTTACAGGTTATGTTTCATATCTGCATTCTTCATACATACAAGCTGTAGCCCACAAAACGCATGTTTCTTTTTTTTTTTTTTTTAAGTTATTGTGGTCTTACCTTTACCTTTAAATGAAGTCTATGCTCCGCTCCTTCTGGACAAAAATATCCGTTACTTTTTTGTAAAAGTCTCCTTATCTTCCTTCGCTGCACTTGACTTGCTAACTGTATATCGTACCCATAGACTGTATAAAAGATGGACGTAGCTAGCGTGACGTCACCCGTTGGTTTCTGTACTGAGAAAATGAAGCCTGGGTTTTGCTACTTCCTGGTTGACATCTTGGATTTTTGGAGCCAGTGACGCAAAACTCGTCGGAGGGGGGCGGAGCCATAGGAGTAGTGATTGGTCAGACGGATTGAGAGGCAGGCCCTCTCTGCCCGCCCACATTTACCGCCTTCTGCTCGCTTCCTCTGTATGGTCGCTGCCGACTGTCAATCAAACCAGTCACGCCCCTTGCCCCGCAAAAATTTGACGATTTTTTAAAAATTCAGTATTGATTTATTTTCAGATTGGCCACCTGATCTCTGGACTTGATCATGAAAACTAATAAGAACAAATCCTGAGCTGGAGGAATGCGGTATTTCGTGATCTGTGATCACTTCTTTTCCAATTCATGTCTATGGGAGCCAGGGCTTTGTGGAGCCAGGACTAGCGGACGTTGTGATATTGCAGGTTCTTGACACTTCCGGGTTGGCTTCATTTTTCAGGGCCGGTTGCTACGTCCATCTTTTATACAGTCTATGATCGTACCTAGTCTAGCTTGCTGTCACTTACTCTGCAGCCACGGAGTCACAAGAAGCATGTCTGGGATCAGAGCGCCCCCTGTCATGAGGCCAGAGAACTGCCTGCCTCACCAAGAACCTCTTCTCAGCCGCTTATGATCGCTCAGCACACGGAAAATGTTACACATATACAGTTGGTAACAAAAACACTGTACGTTATTATATACATCAGCTGAACTATGGAAATTTAGTTCATATATTAAATGTTTTTGAACCATGTTATTGGCGACATCCAGACAGCAGCACACTGTCACTGCAGGCAGCCAGTGTAGGTAGCCAGGGATTGTGCAATCCAAGTGAGGCTGAGCTCGCTGCTGCCTCACTTGGATTGTGCAATCCCTCACTGAGCTGGCTGCCATGCAGTGACAGCCTACGCATCTCTTCCAAGCATTTGAATGGGAAATTGCGAAAATTTAGCGATTTTGAATTTAAAAATCGTCAAAACTGACGAGGCTACATGAAAAAATAAATACTTTATAGTACAAATCACTGGATATATATAACCATTTAAAGTATTTTATCATATATTTTTTTTCTTTCCATGCTCTGCCTCACCTGCCTCCCCTGACCACACGTCACTGCTCCAAACTCCTCAGATCCCAATCTGATTGAGCATCATTGGGAGGCCTCACCCCGCAACCCACAGAACCCAAAGAAAAGAAAAGTTTTGATGGAAAAAGGGGACCTACACAATGTTAGGCAGATGGCGGTTGATTGGCGTATCTGTTTTATTTATTTTTTTGTTTAACAGCTCTAACAGAAACATGTCACCTTAGTGTTATAGATAGCTGCAAGTAGCAGTTTGTCTCATGCCGTTTGATTAAATAATGTCACGTTTCACTGTGTTGTACCGCAGGGAACAAAATATAACGGAGGCCCAGTTAATGACACACTGACAAACAGGCAGCTCGTTCATTAATTTTTCTAGTCAAGCTATTAGAGAAAATAGAAATGAAAAATGATGACAGTTACTTTAAAACCATTTGTACAAGCATATTGAATTCATCAAAGTAGCTTTGTACAGGTGTCTGGTAAACATTAGATGCTTTACACATGGATCAATATTGATAAAGTCAGCCCCATTTTCTCTTAAACAAGCTAACACAGATGCTGTTAACTTATTTATATTCTTATCATGCAATCAGACGAAGTGGATTAAAAAAAACAGTAAAAAAAAAAGAAAAGGAGGTAACTGGGAGGGGATGTGTGATCATAAGCATTGTAGCTAAATTTTAATGAAGTTGAAATATTTCTTTGCCAGGTCACTGATCATTTTCATTACATTTCAACAAAATCTCCAGGCACACCAAAGCTCATTTCAAGGCGCACCAGCGGTTAAGAGAGTTTGATTGATGGCCAAACGCAGCCAGTTCAAAATCCAGTCTCTGGTGTAGAAGGGACAAGTCCCAATAGTGCTTTTCATGCTGCATATTATTAGACCAGATTTCCACTTGGCCCAAGGCTAACTGAGCTCAGTTTTTACACTGCACAAATTAGCCAGGAGCAATTTGGAGGCATGTATTGCCACTAGAGGTATCTGATTTTGTGTTGTTGTGTTAAATCATTAAAATCTTGTTTCTGTGTTTGCAAATGGCAGAACTAAAACACTATTGTTGTGACTGCAATGGAAAGTAAAACTTTGAGTGTCCTTTATTACACATATTTGCAGTTTTGAAAGTTGAGAACAGTTGTGTTTGCCTTTGTTTAGTGCATCTAAATACGTTCACTGTGTTTATCTGTCACAGTCATGCATAATAAGCTCAATTAACGCACTCAATGTTGTGTAAGTGCTAATGCTAATGAGAATTCATCAGGTGAAACTGAAAACGATGATTAGCCAATTAACACTGGTCGCTCAGTGAGAAATGTCATGCCAATAATGAAACAATGACCATCAATACATATTTGAAACACTGAAAGGCACGTACACAGCATCGTCTTTCTGTAGTTGCTGCATTGTTTGTGTTACTGGAGAGCAAAGGACTGAGAGCAGCAGCACAATGTGTTTTTAATGTGTAGGTAGACATATTTGCAGGTAATGTATGCAACTCCACTTAGGTGCAGATTAGTCAGTAGAGGTGTGCTTGGGGCATTGGGGTAGGAAACATCCTGGGGGCATAGATAGGGGATTCAGTTGTAAACTTGGGTACAAAACTAGAGAACTTTGCAGGAGGCAAAAGCTCAGAAAAAAGAGTGAGAAAATAGTTGAGGGCTGAAGAAAATTGAGCAGAACAGATGCGACAAAAAAGTCTTTAGTCTGAAGCATTTTTATGCATCACATTAACCTTGACATTAAATCCCAGATCAGCCTTTACACCTCTCCCATATCCTGAGGTCATGCTCTGATTGGCTAAGAAGCTGTACCAAGTGTGCCACATCACACTCTGAATGGTTCAAATACAGCATATTACCCTGTGACTGGATACCTGATTGAAAAAAAATCTGTGTTTGTGGCTTTTGTGGTGAATTTTGGGCACAAAGAACAATTTGCACACCAATGCCACCACACCAAAAAGTATGTGTGTGCACTGCATATATATCTGTGTGCAATATAGCTACGCTTCTGATGTGAGTCTCCACAGAGGTTCTCCATTTTTGTTTTTTATCCCTTTTTTACTTTGCCATTACGACTATCAAACACGATTATCTTCTCAGTTGTGACAGCTCTGGCAGACACAGATTTCAAATTTGTATATTAAAGCGTGTGACAACATGTTTTTATTACCTTTGGTGGGCTTTCGGATCCAGGATATTCTCGCTGATCCAGTTTGTTCCAGCGCTGCATCAGTTTTATGACGATAGGCTTGCTAAAGTCCACCAGCTGGAAACCTGTCACGTTGGCCCCACCATGCATGAACCTCTCTAGAGATATGTCCTTAAAACCCTGGGAGAGGAAAATCAAGCAAGCAAGAAAGACAGAAAAGGGATGTGAGAAAGAAAATGTGATAAGAGTGATGATGCAAGCACATAAATCATAAAAAAAAAAGTCAATTCCTGACCAGATGAGGAAGAGACGAAGTGTGCAAACCTCCCCCACACAATCTTTCCACCTTTGCTGACATATGATGCTCCATATACTCCCCATATTATGCATACTTATTTTTCTTGATTATCTATACCCCTACTTAATATAGATTTAGTTCCAGAGCTGCAAGTGTGACTTAATGCAGAGTGATGCTTCATAGTGAAGTGTTGGTGAAGAGGGATCAATCTGTTATCGGTCCAGAGACAGAGGTAGAGTACAGACATGTGAGGGTTATCCTGGGTTGATGGATGTTAATTGCTAAAAGCTTCGAGAAGCTATCTAGCTTGACCTGTGCACATTGGCCCCTTTTTCACTGTCCCAGAGAGAACTACTGTTGAACAGATTTTAGGGATTAAGGTTGAAGCAGTGATTAATTTATTGACGTTGGTTCCAGCAGCGTCCAACAACTGTGACTTTGTCAAGGAGAGAAAAATGGTAATATACCAATTCCAAAGTAAAAGATATAAGAGCCTTTGCTGGCAGCAATAATGAAAAAGCAATACAGAACTGGTAAACATGGTTTGTTTTTTCATTCGAAGGGCTGCAGAAAATCTACAACTTGGATGTCAAAGTTGGGGTAGGTAAAAGATGTTTCGCAAGGCTGTCTTAAAAGCTGTAAACACTGATTTTATGTCACTGTAGATGTCAAAGCTTTATCTCACTGATATTTGTGTGTGTTGTCTGTTCACCAGCAACATGAGAGATACACTATGAAGCAAGTTCAGCATAGCCAGGATTTCCCTACGCTAGCTGGCTTGACAAAAACCTAAACCCAAGTCAGAGATAAGGGGTATCACATCGATGGTTGTTAACTTTCTTTGTTTACACAGGTTTTCTTCATCGGGGTCTGTGCATTTTCCCACAAATGTGGATGTTTAACACATCATTTCACTCTTCTTCTGCACAAAATTGACTGAGTGAGACACCTACTTGAGTCAAGAGGAACAGGTTGTTATAATGGAGAGTTGTGAAAAAATTACAAAGTTATTACGGTAAATAGCACCACTACTGGAAATGGTGAATGAGACAAATGCTGGTAGCAAATTGTTAATTGTGTCAATTAATATATTTATCTTGTTTATTTCAGTTCACTCTCATTGCAGTAGCTTGTTTCTAACAAGTGCGTTTTGCTTAGACAATTCCCTGTAATGAAGGATACGTGGAAATCAGCTTAGTTTCTAATCTGTGTTCTATTAGCTGTATTACCAACAGTGTTAAACAGACATGGCAGGAAGTAACCAAGTATCTAAACATCTTTTTGTATTTTCTGCATAAACAACTGAATGCATGTAAGTTCCTGTAGCAACGTGGCAGATACAGTCTGCTCCACTGTACGTCTTTGTTCAGTAGCATTACTAATGTACAGTTTAACAGGTTTGCAGATAAAATGTTTTCACTCAGCTGTGAATCTGTGTCATTCATAAAGAATATCATCAGGACAACAGTTGGTGAAAGAAAGTGCAACACTGAGTTACCATGGGGATCTAGCAGGTTAAAAGAGATCAATCCACCTTTGTGACACTGAAATCCCGGGCTTTAGGTTCAACATACCTCACTAACCCATGAATCTTGCTTCATAGTGCAGACTTCTGATATGTGAACTCTCTGGCACGTTAAAAAAAAGAACCTGTTCTCATACAGGCTATTAAAACAAGAAATCACAGCAGCTCTTGAGCGAGAATGCCTCAAAACAACAGCTGAAAGCGATGGCATTAAGGGTTCTTACCAGGTTTGCTATGATGTAATGGTAACCTTTTACATGCTTCCCCACACTGACAGCCTGCAGAGAGAGAGAGAGAGAGAGAGAGAGAGAGAAAGAAAACATTATTGCACTGGCTATCTCCTGGTGTACATGGAATATGACAAACCAGGAAAGAAGCAGGGCAGAGGAGTCAAACTATAAACTCCTATCTGTTACTCCCCTATGCTCCTTAATCACATTGCTGTGTTTTCTTTCCATTATGCTGATGAAAAGCAGATTAAGTAATGAGAACCTCACTAGTCTCTGGTGCCACGCTGGGTGCAACTGTGCAGCCTCTTGAGCACCTTGTTTTGTTAATTTTTGGGTGTATTGAAACCGACACTTTTTCTGTGTGTGTGATTGTTACATGTTTATTGAGGGATGGAGAGAAATATGGCACATTTTTCAAAACGGCAGAAATATGCATACTCATATTAACATGGTGCATTAACCTAATTAATAAACTGTTCACATTTCTTTTTTGTCTCTCTCACCCACACATATCAACAGCCATATACTGACACAGACAGATGTACACGCACACACATACACACACAGATCGCAGCTGGCAGGGGCAGACAAACAGAGCAGTCTCTGTCTCAGAGCAGGGATGCTGGCCAATGCCAGCCCTGCAGAGCTTAGTGTGATGGGAGTGTGTGTTTGTGTCTGCATGCCATGTCTCAGTATATACTTACGTGTGTGTGAGTGTTTGTGTGTGCGTCTCCGTCTGTCTGTTCACTCTCCACAGAAGCCAATTAAGAAACAGTCTGTCTGTCTGTCTGTCTGTGATGCTGCCATTGGTGTGGGTTTGTACGTATGCAACTGTTCATTTAAAAGCTGTCGTGTATGTTTGTTTCCCTGTAGTGTTTGTGGATATATTGTAGTTTAGCATATGTTACATTTTTATGCAGTTGTAGTAATTGTGTGTGCGGTGGGTTCTTGCGTGTGCATGTTTCGCTGCGTGTGTCATTGAGTTTGTCAGATGTGCAGAGAGAGGATCAGATGTGATGACAGGTGGCAGAACCAATGGGATGTTACACTCCAACCTGAGTCAAAGGCCACACACACACACATACACACACAAACACACACACATTTGTGCCACCTGTCAGAACTCCAGTCTCAAACATCAAGCGAGACAGATGATCTAATGAACTTAGACAAGCGTAAGGTGTCAGAGTGTATGGTTTTGATGAACTTGTATGCATTTGTGTGCGCATACCCTCAAAATGTGGGTGCGGGTGGACAAGATAGTGTCATGACTGGAATCTCACACTAATGTAGCTGTGGGGGCAGTTACATTTTTTTCATTCCACATTATGAACTCCAGGAAAAAAAAAAACAAACTCAAATCTTGTTTTCTTTACAGATGTCAGAAAGCATCAGGAGTGCTGTTGCATCTAACTGAGTGCAGTAGACAGCAGGCAGACTGACACTAGTGGTACAGTGGGTCCCCCAACATAATGCAATTCCACAATAATTAGTAACTTAATACTGACTTTAATTGTTTCCAATTTTTCTCACAGGGTCTCATTACTTACCACAGTCTACTGTGTGGTTTAAGGCCGCAGTGGTTGTGCCTCATTATTAAGTGTTAAGTGCTGTTAAGTCCAGGTCAGTGATGCAATCTCTGCCCTGTCACTAGTAATCTCAGTGAGAGTAACAGTGCCACATAAAACTATAGTGTTACATCCATTAAAGCAGTATCTCATGATCTACAATCCTGCAGGGTGGTTCAACTTTCAGATCAGTGTCAAATATCTTTACTACATGTCTGCTGTTAGATAATAGTGTTTTTTGTAATCGTGTGATATCCTGCAGCAAGGGACTTTTGAGTGTTTAGTACTGCACCTTGTGATGTAGCAGTAATTTAACACCAGTAAAAAAAAAGTCATTGTGAAACAAGATCATTTTAAGCTTAGTTAGTTTGTTCATTATTTTATATTTAATTGTTCCATCCTGGTAATTACACAATACATATACAGCATAAATATCTACCATATTCAATCACAAATTACAATCCTGGCTCCAGTGCCACTATGTGCTTACATTAATGTAGTCACAAACTCATAATTAAGGTAGTTGAGTGATTTTTTTATCAATAAAATTACCTGTTCTAGGATGCTCTGTAGTCTCTCAGGCTCCAGGTCAATGACATATTTTCTCTCCTGCCGTCGATCCAGGTCTTCTAGAAGTCTGCGATATGCTGCTTCGTTGAAACTTTCCACACAGATTGCGCTCACCTGTTGTTGTTTTTTTTTTTTTTTTTTTAACGTACGCACAAGTATCCACAGGTATTGTGCACATGAACACAAACGCAAACAGCATGTGGCAATAAGGTCATGCATGCAAATCACAAGCAAGTTAACAATGCTGTTCGAAGAATTAATGACCAAAACAAACCCTAAAGTGGAAACTGTGTGTATGCACTGTGTGTGTGTCTGTGTGCGTGTGTGTGTGTGTGTGTGTGTGTGCGTGCAAACTGCATGTGCATGCGGCCCAAGATCACTAGTCTATTTGTGTGTATGTGTGTGTGTGTGTGTGTGTGTATTTTGGCAGGTTTCCAAGGATGTGTGTTTGTGTGTGTCCTGACCTGCCATCCGTTCTGCCCCGCTCTCTCCATAATTGCCTGCAGTATTGCATAACCTAAACAACAGAGCGTAAGGGAAGGAAAAAAAGGGAAAAAGAGAATTAATGCTGTACTAGGTAGAGACTGTCGCTGGGAAATGGAATAATTATACTTTGCAAATTTTGCAGGTAAAAAGTCCCACCAGTATTTGCAAAATCTTTTATTTTATCGCCGTTACCACAATGCGTTTGCACAAAATGCTTAAATCAGCAAAGCATTTCCAGGTGTGCAGCGCTTTGCAGCACATTCATCAGCTCAGCTCATTTACAGAAGCAATACCCCAATGTCATGTCTTCAGAAGTGGGTGCAAAGTGCTTAATACTTCAACGGTTCTCCCTTGAATGTCACTTTGTCAACCAATGCACAGAGCTTATCAGGATGAGGGGTAAAGTGGCAAAACAATAAACAGTCAGTTTCAATGGGAATGAGATTATTAATAGTGACATTTCATTTCATTTCATTGAAATTCCTTTTTAGTAGAGGACCTTGATTTAAATGAAACTCAACTGAGACCACTGTGCCACTTAACAGTTTTATAGCCTCGAACCAAAACCAAAAAAGGGAAGTTCTGTTTGGACATAATGATTAAGTACAGTTTTGAACAGGGTGAGAATGTCACTCAGTTTGATATGAGATGACTTTCAAGGTTAATATGATTAAGCAGCAGTTGGCAACACCGGTGACAGTGAACTGCAGTATATTACACTGAACAGCTGTCTTGATGGGCAAAAACAAGTGGAAAAATTACAATAATGAGAGCTATTCTCATATCACAGTAATAATCCTTTAAAACACTGGCCCACATTTTTATCACAATTATCTCCACCAAAACCTCCACATATGTTATTAAATCTGCTCTGAGCTCAACTTGGGTAGAAAAAAAATTCTCACCATTTCCTTAAAGTCACATGCACACAATGACAAGCAGCAACATGAATAAACTCACATGTAATACAAATAGAGCTGCAATGATTATCTGAATACTTGGTTCGCTGTCAACTAATAAATCAATTTTTGGATAATTCATTAATCAGTTAGATTAAATTCTCTCCTTCCAGCTTCTTAAATGTGAAAAATTTGCACTTCCTCTCCTCTATGACAGTAAACGGACATTTGAGGACGTCATTGTAGGGTTTTGGAAACACTGATCGACTTTTTTTTTACATTTAAGAAACCAAACATCTAATCGAATAATCAATAAAATAATCAACAGTACAAATGCTTGTGAGTTGCAGGCCTAAACTCTCCAGATTTACCTCCCAAGTGACTATAAATACATTATATTATGTCCGTACCTAAATGAATGTTTGTGTGTTCAAGGTTGCACTTGTCTGAGAGCTGCTTGCTTCCACTCTGTATTTTAATTAAATGCATGCACGCAGACGCACACGAATCCATCTACTCTACTTGAATTCAGCTACGTGTATTTGTGTTTATATACATTTGCGCGAGTATATGGACATGCCTCGGCTTGTGTGTATGCATCTGAGTGTGTGTCAGCAGGCTGTCTGTGGAGCCGAGCAGAGCGGGGAGCATAAAACAGATCACAGCGTTACTGCCCATTTTCCAGCACATTACCGGCAGCAGGGTCTGATGGGAGCCTATAATGAAGGGCCCTGCCTTGGCCAAGTCACGGGTGAGTACAGCCCAAACTCTACGCATTCATCCTTCGCTTCATTTCTCCCCCCTCCTCTGCCTCAAGCCTCCCTCCTCCTCCTATATGCTACTGTATATCCCTGGAGAGTTGTGATCCTGTCTGTCCTCTCACTCCTCCTTTCTGCCCTTTCTATAATCTCCCCCTCCCTCCCCACCACCCTCCACTGCAGCCCATCTACCTCCACTTTTCTCCTCTTCCCGTCCCTTCCCCTGTCACGTTGTTTGTCCCCCCCTCCCCTCCCAACTCGTACCTCCTCTCTGTCTTTTTGCCTGCTCCACCAGTTCAACTCACCTAACCTGTCTTCTCTGCTGCCCCTTCTCCTTCCTCTTTCTCCCCTCTGCTCCCCCCCCCCCCGGGTACAAACACAGACAACCTGGGCCACAGGAGGGTTGGCTGAGGCACAGACGGAGCAAACAACACACAACAGCATCCACACATGTAGACTCACACACTGTGCAGCTCACTGCCTCCCTAACACACCACTATACCATGGTCTAGGGACTTTGCATCATGTTTGACCTGTGTTTCACTCCCTGTGGCAGAGAATTAGTCCGTGTGTGTGTGTGCACACATGTATGTGTGTGAGTGGAATAATGTGCCAAGCATTCCCATGACAGTGGTTTGGGGCCGAGGGCGTCAGCTGTGCCCGCTCCACTAACTTACGTGCACTGCATGATGGCATGCTTAAATTAAAGGCAGGTGAACGCTCCAAGAGCTCCGACCAAACCCCAGTTTCTGGTTGAAAAATACCAAATTAAACCCTTGTTTCTGCAGCTGCATCCTTTATCAGACCTGCTCAGTTCCAGTGACACAACCTCTGTGCTTCCATTAGAAAATAAGGCTACGTTTAGGAATTGCATTAAGGCCAAATAATCCTAGGCAAATAGACTTTCAGGCAGATGATTAAGAGTTAATAGCATAATGCAATTTCATTCTAAACGGAGCCCAAATTAGCCGCTGATTCTACATGCATAAAGTGTTTTAAACCAAACTAATTTGGAAATATATTTTAATCTTCAGCAACTGAGTTTTGAATTCAGGGGGCCAAGAGATATAAGATGACAGATCTACCCAGTTAGGGCTCGTTATCACAGCAGCAATTATAATTCTCCGGCAGTGCCATGAAGTCACAAAACCCCTCCAGTTGCAGTCATTGGGGCTGTTCTGATACGCAGACTATAATAGACTATTTTGCTGAGTTACAGTCCCTTTTTGCGCACTTTCCTCAAACCCTTCTCTGACCTTTCTCTTTAAAAACCAACAAGGAAGGGAAATGAGGTAGGAAACAGATGAAAGGCTGTCTTTGTCACGGCAATGCTGCTGCAGCATTTTATTGGTAACAGGCCAGAAAAAAACTAAACAAAACACACTTTAACTCACTCTTGTCATGCATTTCTCTCTTCCACTACCTAAACCAAGTCATAAATAATCCTGAGCTAGTTGTTGAGGTTTTAGGCTTCCCAATATGGAAAGCTCATTGAACACCACACAAAACCAGACCTAAATATGAAAATATCCACCTTTTCGTTAAGATATTTGTCCCTTTGCGTTTACCTCTGTCTGTGTCGTAGAGGAAGACAAATCGGCTCCAGTCATAGTGGTCCAGCAGCGACAACAGAGCCCCTCTGATGGACGGTCGAAGCTGCAGCGTGAACTGGCCCTCTCCTTCGGTGGGGAAGCTGGGTGTCACGAGGCTGATGTGCAGGGCCCCACAGAACGACGTCAGCGTGTTCACTGAGCGCTTGTCGTAAAGGCCGAAGATGGCGAAGACCCCCCTCGAATACTGTGAACAGACTGATGAGAGGAGGAAGGAGAAAAGGTGTGGAGGGAGCGGGGGATGTGATGTTGGGGATAGATGGAAGAAAAGAGGGTAAATGGGTGAAATTCAAGGAAACACAAATATAGGCTATGCTCAGTGATATTGGTTTTTAAAGCTTCGTATTGATTTTTTGCAAATGAAGAAAAAAGAACAAGAGGGGGGGAAAGGAGAAGAACACATGGCCCTTAATTAAATTCACACTGTGGAATCTGTTTGGAGATGTCAAGCATTTTAATGAGCGACAACTTCAGCTTGTGTCAGCTACTATACAGAACCTTCTCACTTCTAATTAGAGCCACAAACTGCAGTTTTTTGGGTGAGTGTGGCTGCTTTTTTCAAAAATGCCTAATGAAACAGTATCTTGAAAATGCATCACTCAGATTTACATATGAGTTTTTTTTTTTTTTTTAACCCAGAACATCACACAGATTCATGTCACCAAAAGTAAAATTTCTTTCCACACATACATATACATGTGGTTCTAAATTACAAGCACCAACATTCACAGGCACATGGGTTGAAATCAAACTGCCCTATAAGCCCCTGGCAAGCAATTTTCAAAATTTCTGACTAGCACAAAATCATTCCCACTAGCCAAAAACTGGCTTTGCTGCTTATACAGTTGTTAAGGAAATTACACTCAAATAACCCAACCTGCTTAGAGCTTAACATCCCTAAGATCCGTCCTCGCACACACACATACATGCAGATACAAAACCCTTGACCGAGCCGCGAGCTCACTTCAAATGTGAAGTCATTTTCCATTACAACACCGCAATTCAGTCTCCAAACACCCCGAAGCTCTCAACCATGACAGAGAGGAGAGTGAAAAGCTCTGACGTCTACCGCTATCTTGCTCCTACAAAATTCTAGCCGGTGTTTTGGTTTGTCGGTCATCTGTGTGGCTCGACCAAAAACAGTGTTTGAATGAAAAACAAAAAAGAGAAAAGCACTCGGGGAGTCCTGCGTATCCAGACAATTGTGCACACAAATGTTTGCCTCATTTTGTTAGAAGGAAGAGTGTAAAGTCTTCAACACTAACAACGTGTCAACTATTTTTTGCTTTTATACGATTTAACGTTTCATTTTGTCAGTCCCCTTTCTCTCTCATCCTCTTATTTCCTCCCCTCCTTACTCTCTTCAGCCCTATTCATCCTTTCACTCAGATTCTTTCAAGCAGGCATGTTTTGAACTTCAGCTCTATCCTGCCTCATAATTCACTCTCCACCCTGTAGTACGTCACACTGGAGTAAACAGTAAGACAGGAAGACTGCAGGCTTTGCTTTTGGCAACAGTCGGACATTACTCTGAAACCTTTTCCCTCTTTCTCCCTCTTTTGATCTCCTCGTGCATCACATCATTTCATCCTCATTCGTCTTTCTTCTGTTTCCAGGGCAGACACTCCATCCATCCTCTCTCTTTCAGCTTTCCACCATCCACTTTCCTTCATCTTTTCTCCCTCTCTTCATCTACGACTGCCTCCTCTTTCTGTTCCTCCCTCTCTCCCTCCTCCTGGGACTCAGAGTAATTCCATTATCAGCTATAAGCCTCAGTGGGGGTAAACACTGAGGGAGACGCAGCTCTGACGGTTCGGCTTGTGGCAATTAAACAAAGCCGAGGCCCCTGCACCCAGGAGGCGATAAGGCGGGGATTTAGTCTCCGATTATGACAGGAGCTAAATGTCTTCAATTCAGAGAACTAGCATACTAGCCGTACTTAGCATGCGTCATTCAGCAGGAGCTGAGTCATGGTGTCCTTAAAGTCAGTGTTCTTAGTGTCATCCAGGATGATTTTTACAACATTTCCAGTTGTTATTTGATATTTCACAGCACATATCTACATGAGAGATGCTTGCAGAGATGAGACTGCGTGTGATAAACCTCTACATGACAGGTGCTATATTTTACCGAGACACAGGGAGAGTGTAATACCTGGAAATGCGATGATATGAATGCTAAATCACTGAAGTCGGCATTTTATTTAAGTGCTCAGAAGATAAAATCTGAAGTAAAAACACCAGCTAAATGTCAAGGATTGAAACGAAACAACAAGCACAGACAGATTCAGATTGAAACGGCACGGGGAAAATTATACTTGTTCATCCATGATGGCAACTGACTGATGAAAAATGGCTTTTGGTTGAGATAAATGATGTCCCAGACACTGTCTAAGGACAAAGAGAATCAACATACAATTGAATGTCTCTGACAAGACTTTTTGTTTTTTCTAAACTTGCCTGAAACTTCAGACTTCTGGCCTAGATGCAGTTTTGTGACATCACTGTCTGCAGATTCTATTCTCTCCCCACCTCCATCAACACTTAAAGAAATATTGATAGCCTTAATCCCCAACCATTCTATTTTTATACAATACCAAGACATCTGCAACACAAAGGCCCAGAGCACATAACAAAAACACTCCTTTTTTTAATCCATTTATCCTTCTTTTTCTGTTCCTCTTCTCCATCTATCACCTCCTCCCTCCCTTCACCTCCTTTAATTCCATCTATGCTTTCTGTTTTTTGCCTTCATCTCTTTCTTTCTCCCATGTTTCCTCTTTCTGATGTATGTCTCCATGGGCTTGTTTCTCTGCAACCCCCTCCACCAACACCACCCCGCCGCAAGGCTGGAATGTGCCAGACAGTGGCGTCATTGTAATAAAATGTGTGCTAAGCTTGCTTCATAAAGCTTTAATGAGAGGAGGGGACCAGTGGCACGGTGCATCATCACCACAGTAAAAGCAACGGACACAATAGGACTCCTGGGACTTCTCCTACCTCTGCCTCTTGTCATCTCAGCTTTGCTTGTTTTCCAGCATCTCCAAATGTGTGATTCTTTATGTACATTCTGCTGTTTCTTCGGGTTCCTAATTGCTCCCTCTGTCCGTCAAACCTCTCCCTTTCTCTGTGCATACCTCTCCATAAATCTGACATCCCTCCTTTGTCTGCATTACTCCAGCCTCTGCATCCCTGCATCGTCCTCTGCAGTTATCCCTGCCTTCCTCTGATTAATTTTATTTGTGACTCCATGCATTTAGAAAAGCCCTCTCAATCATGTGCATATTCTGCACATCACTTTATTTCTTGTTTTCACATTCAAATTTGTCAAATTTGCATAACAGCACAGAAAATATGTTGCTGAAACTGTGTATTTTACAGACGAATACCTTTGTTCTCTTCTTCTCTGGTATTGTTCTCTATGTGTTTGCACTTTTTCATATTTCTTTTAACCATCCTTCCTCTTTATACCTCTCAGAATCGTCTTTAGACAGGCTCCTTGTTTGTTTTTCACATGACAACAGGAATAGACACTCACCAGTAAACCTGCTACTGATTTCACTGTCACTGCACAACTCCATAATACCCCCCAAAACCTCCAACACACATACAACCTCCAGACTTTCTGTCCTGATGCTGCAGTTGCTTCTCAACCATTAGTCTGAATAACAACCCTCTAGCTGCAGAGGCATTCTCCAGACAGCCATGGTAAGACTGCAAAATACCGTGAGCTCTCATTACCTGCAGAAAAAGGCCAAAATAAAGGAAGCACCTGAGTAAATGAAAAATACCAGCTAGTTTGAAACCATAAGGTGTATTTTTCCTGGCAGTGACCAGGGCTACCTACAGTGCAGCACAGTGATACTTGCAGGGGGGGGAACAAAGGTAAATGCCAATAATAATCTTTTATGAGCAATATAATTAGAGAGAAACCTACTGGCCAATGCCTTACACTGACATTTCACATTTAACCCATTTACGGGAGTAACCTCTAGAGAAGAAAGCTCCTGTGCTGTATATATTCTGTTTCAGTCCTGCAAGAGAGTTCCTCTTTTAGAGGAAGACTAGATGATTCTGCAGCAAACTGGAATTTCTACAATGACTGAAGCTCCTAACCAGATCGACTTATCCAAACTAGTGTGTCAGATGAATGAATCTGTAAGATTATTTGACATACTGAGGAGGACGTACGAGGTTCAAAAAACTGAAGAAGAATTGTTTTACTATTGTAATAATGGCTAAGTAAGAGAGGAAGGGAGCTGCACTGAGCTAACTAGTCTGAATAAACTGAGTTTGTTCTTGGTCTACGAATCAGCAGAGATGATACCATTTGCAGCTCAGCGCAGTCTGCACAATAGATGCTGTATCCTGCTAGTAAATTTACACTTTGTAAGGTGCCCAAAGCATGACCCACCCTTCTCAGCCTCTGACTGGACAACGTTTTCATTTTCATTCCAATGTCAACCAATCTAACTCCTCACACTCTCACTGTCCTCAATAATATAAATGAGATTTCCCAGCTACCCTGCACACACCCAATGGATTTCAAGTATTCATGTATATATAGAAATGTGTAGCAATACTTTCAACACATTACCTTCAAACTGTCTGTTATAACACTGTTATAATGCCCTCATAATGATTTGTGCTTAACAAAGCCAACACAGACAGTGTCAAGTTATTCAATAAATACAACTTTTCTTGGATATTTGTGGAAGATTCACAGCTGTGAGGCTGCGATAAAGTGCAAAATGTTAACAGAAAATCACTTGGCAAGGAGAGCTACTTACAAGCTACCAACTATGCTGGATGAATGTCGTTAGCTAAATCCAGATAGGTTAATTAAATAACACTTCTTCATTATGCTGCCAAAAATATGATCCAGGTCACATTATGTTATGCAAATTCCTGGTTACAGTCCCCTCTATCAACAAGTGACAGCGGCAGAATGAGGTAGCCTATAGCTGAGTTCAGAGCATCAGCTGGTTTTGAAGTGAGTTACAATGAAAAAAAGCATTCCACAGCCAGCTCTTAGACCATCGCATGTAATATTTTTGCATCAGTATATTTCCTTACAATTGGTTGAACCATTTCTTTGAATAGGGCCTCTGATTCCTAAATGTCTTTGCATGCCTTTGAGTTTCTGGGTAACATTAGTTGCTTGAACATTCAATGAAGAAGAATGGGGAGCTCTCTGCG